TAATTTTTTTTTTTTTTTTCTTTTACTTCATGTGGGTGTACTTTCATGAATAATATTTTCAATGACAATACTTTCATTAATAGGTCATGTATTCAGATAAATTATGTCCTTATTGGGGGCTTATATTCTTATAAGTTATATAGTATATGATGTGAGTGACCTATATAAAGCAACATACAGTTTTTTATTTTAAGTAAACCACATACTCTTGTTATTTTTTTTTCCCTTCTGAAACAGAGTAAATATTAGTGTCATATTTGGTTTCGATTTATTTTTAAGTGGCTAATCGTTTTTTTATTTTATGGAGATTATAAATATCTTTTATGAGAAACGAGTTTGTTTGAATTGTATAAGATTGTTGTGATTAACAAAACTCTTTCTTTAAATATTTACTTTAGTTACATATCTAATACTCAAATTCAAAATTACTGTATAAACTGCAATAATTTTGTTCTCTTTGATCAATTACTTGAGTGATTCTTTTTCTTTATTTGGGTTCAAGTCATAATTACAGAAAAAGAGTTTATAATTATTGATTAAAATGAATAATTTATAGCCTTATAAAATATGAGCATTTAATAAATAAAAGCGGTCATGACCCAGATGGAAGGCTTCAGATTGGGCCACTTAAACGCAAAGTATTGGGCTGTTGTTAGAGATCTTAATTAGAGTTTAGGCCTTTGCTATTAGCAATCGCTCCAAAAATAATTTAATGGCCTTTTTATTTTGTGGAAAATCTTCTTAATGGAAAGCTTTCTTGGTGTAGTTAATTGATAATATGTAATTAGTCGAGATGTAGCACAGCACAAAATTTATATATATATATATATATATATATATCATGAAAACTAGTTTTTATACCACAATGATGAAGTGAGTGAAGTTGACCAAAAACTAAATAAATAATAATTGAGTGACGTACCCAAGTGCCAAAACACAGTAACCATGAGATTGTCCTCAGTAACGCTATCTACTGCAATTTTAATATTTGGACCCATTGCTTCCATCAATTTCTGCCATAAGTTTATGACATCCTGAAAAGTCAAAAGGTTTCACCATGTTTACTTATTGATGGTATTTATCTACAAACAATTGTCCAGATTAATCTTATAAAAAAATTCCATATTTATTATTTGATAAAACATATACAAGAGAAGAAAAAATGTTGAAACTAACCTGGGCTTTGAAGGGAGTGTAGAAGAGGAGGTCCTGGTACACACATTCATCGGAGACTAATTGCTTCAATTTTTGAATGTCTCTTTCATTGAAGGCTTCGTAGAAATGTTGGACATGTACAGCGAACTCAGGAGTTTCCCCAACCCGTGTTTTCCATTTTTCATTTTGGCATTGCTTCCATAAATTTATGCCCTTCTTCTGAGCTACTAATGATGATGGAAAGCATGTTTCTTTGCAAACTAAGTTTCTGAAATGAGTAGTTTTGTTGTTGTGTAATTGGGTAATGCATGGTGGTGTGTGGATAATCTTGTTGCAGCTCATGAAAGATCCTAATGTGCTACACATTTGGGGTAGTGATGCCATGGCCCAGCAAAGACCATTTCCAAATTCAAAGAGCTAGTGCTTATTTTATTATTCCACTTACTTGTCAAGTGGTTTCGTATCTAAATACTATAGTTTTCCATTCAAGAAAGGAATGGATGCCATTCCAACATGCTTTTAAGTTTATTTTTTATTTTTATAATTATAATATTACTATGAAATATCTATTATCGAAAATAATAATTAAAGTCTATAAAAATTGTAAACATATATTAATTTATGTTTGTTTCTAATAAATAATTAACCGAGAAATTCTATGGTACCCATCTTATTTGAGAAGGTACCGGTACAGTTTTTTATATTTTATATTTTTAATAATTTATTTAAATAATATTTATGATATTTTTTATTCTTTCAATTTTTAAATTATTTAGTCATTTTATTTTTATTTTATATATTCTAATTTATTTGTAATAATATTATTATATATTTAAATAGTTTAATTTTAATAATTTTTAAAATTTAAAATTTCTATATTTTAATTTTAATAATTTTTTATTTCTACTATTTATTAATTTTTTTTTAATATTTTATAATATTATTGAAATCTTATAATTTTAATCTCTATAATTTTATCTTATTTTTTATTTTATAAGTATAATTTGGATTATTCATTTTATAATTAATTTTTTTAAATTTTTATGAATTTAATAGAAAAATGTATTGAAACCCCTCGATCTTTGAGGGTACCGTAGCAACTCCCTAATTAACCTTCACATCTTTTCATGTGATATATTAGGAGAAATTATTAGATAATTATCAACTACATGATTTTTTAACTAATTTTAACATTATTATATGTAATTAAATATTATTTGTTTTAAAATTAACAACTTAAATACATGTTATGTGAAAATTAATTGGGATAATAAATATTTAATAATTCTAAAATTCTTAATTGCTCGTATATTAAAGGACGTCTAAGTAAAGGAAAAAAAAGTCCACACATTTTTCTAAAATAGATTAAAAAGTTATAAATTACTTTCATAAAATATACATGACCCACCCTAACTTATTGATATCAGTGGATTGAACTACCGACCTAAATAGAACTACGGGTTAGTGGTGAAGTAAAGGTTTGAGTCATGTAGATAAATTTATTATTTTATTGTTATCATTTGTATATACACAAGAGAAGAAGTAAAATTTATAAGATAATAATCAAACTATATAAGTTATAAAATCTCAACATATCATATTTTATTTTATATAAATCACATCTTTTACATTGTTTAAACATGAAATATTCATATAAATGGTGGAATTAGTTCTTTTTTTAGTAAAAAATAATAATAAAATTGTACTATCCGTACTGCGAAGCCGAGCTCCGAGCTCGGCACCACAGTGCAAGCCGACCTCGGACACGCACTGCGTGGCATCAGCTCGACATTTAAGTGAATCGTAACTGATTCCCGAGGATTCTGTCCCAGACGAGATCCGTTATCTAGTCATATTACATCTCATCTCAGGCCCAAGGCCCAAGGCAACCCTAAATCACACCAAGGTACGTGCATTACTTATACGAGATTAATACTCACACAAACACTAACTTTAGCATCAGAGTCTCTTTTGCAGGTACCACCCACCCCCATCTTGGAGCATCAACGTACCAGTGAAGGAGGCTCACCGATCTTACCTGGCAGATCAGCTCTACAGCAGATTCCTAGTAAGAACATTTGGCGCCCACCGTGGGGCCGATCAAGACAGCTCTTATCGGCCACGCTTATGGTTTGCACTAGAAGCCATAGCAGACGCGCAACAGACGACGCAGATCATACAACTACCATGGATAGTGAAGCGACATTATGGAGGCTGATCGATTAGATGCGGCAGCAACACGCCGCCGATCTACAAAACATGCGTGCCCAGCACGATATTGATCTAGCGGCAATGCGTACCGCTAATGAAGCTGACCTGGCAGCGCTACGCACCGAGAATGAACGTATTCGCGCTCAACGACCTGCCACGCATCGGTCTCATGCACCGACGCACAAGTCGACCCGTGAAGTCAGCAAGGCCCCCACTCATGTCCCGGGGGATCAGGCAACCTTTCGCCGCCACCCTTTTGTGGATGGCATCATGGAGACACCACTCCCTCATGGGTGGAAGCCTTTCCACCTCGATTGCTATGATGGCACGACGGAACACTCCACTCTCCACGACCAAGTTCGGGGAAAAGGACAAGGACGAGACAGAGGTTAGGGTTCAGGAGCTCGCACAGACCAACCCTCTGGCTCTTAACTCAACCCCGGCGGAGCAGTACAAGCCGAGGTAAGCCGGGAAACAGGGTCAACCCCCCTACAGGGAGTGATCAATACAATCGCAGGTGGCTTCGCAGGAGGGGGCGCCAGCAGCTCGGCCCAGAAAAAACACATGCGCAACATCAACTGCATACACTCCACCAGCTTAGCTTCGCACCATAGCTTACCGACGATTACTTTCACCGACGACGACTACGCCGGAGTCAATCCCAACCAAGATGATCCCATGGTTATAGCCGTGGCGTTAGCCAATTGGGAGGTTCACAAGACACTGATCGACCAAGGGAGCTCAGCCGACATCCTGTATTGGCCAACGTTCCTCAGGTTAGACGTCCCCCACTCTCTCATACAACCTCACACAGAGCCCCTAGTCGGTTTTGCAGGAAGGAGCGTTTACACTCGGGGGCACGTGGACCTACTGATAACTTTCGGAGCACCCCCGGATACAAGGCGGGTCATGGTTCGATACCTCCTCGTGGAAGCCGGCACTTCCTACAACATAATCATCGGGAGGCCGACCCTTAACCCACTCCGTGCAGTAGTGTCCACCCCACACCTCACCATGAAATTTCCAGGGCATGATGGGAAGATTATCTCCGTCAAGGCGAACCAGGAGATGACACGACAATGCTACACCGAAAGCCTGAAAATTGCCTCACTCGGTGAACAGTGCAAGAGCGACCCTCCCGCCGTGGCTCACGCCAACCACGAAGAAATCACCGATCTCGATCCAAGATCCGACTCTCATGACGAACGGCCTAGCCCCGTTGACGAGCTCGATGACCTCCAGATCGGGAAACTCCCCGGGCAATGCACAAAGATCAGCAGACAGTTGACCCCAGAGTTGCGACAACAGCTCGAAGCAGAAATCCTCAAAAATGCCGACCTCTTCGCCTGGTCCAGCGTTGACATGCCAGGCATAGACGCTGATTTCATCTGCCACAGGCTAGCAATACACAAGGAGGCAAAATCGGTCGCCTAGAGGAAGAAGAAGGTCGACGGCGAAAGGTGGGAGGCCATCATCATCGAAACCCAGAAACTGCTGAATGCTGGCTTCATCCGCGAGGTAAGGTACATCACATGGCTGGCGAACGTGGTCCTAGTAAAGAAGAACTCGGGGAAGTGGCGCATGTGCGTCGACTACACCGACTTGAACAAAGCATGCCCCAAGGACTCATACCCCTTGCCGAGCATTGACAGGTTGATCGACGGAGCCTCCGGACATGCCCTACTCAGTTTCCTCAACACCTACTCCGGGTACAACCAGATAATGATGTACCCACCTGACGAAGTGCACACGTCCTTTATCACTGACCACGCCAACTATTGCTACCGGGTGATGCCCTTCGACCTCAAAAACGCGGGCGCAACCTACCAGCGGCTGATGGATAAGGTCTTCCACCAACAGATCGGGAGGAACATGGAAGTCTACGTCGACGACATGGTAGTCAAGACCACCTCGGAGACACACCATGCTGCCGACCTCGCCGAAGTATTCACCCAAGTCAAGAAGCACAACATGCGCCTCAACCCGGAGAAGTCTTCGGTGTCCAGGGAGGCAAGTTCCTCGGTTTCATGATCACCAGCAGAGGGATCGAGGCCAAGCCCGAGAAGTGTAAAGCGATCATCCAGATGCAGAGCCCACAAACGGTGAAAGAGGTCCAACGCCTAGCTGGACGATTGGTCTCATTATCCCGTTTCATCCCCAGACTCGCGGAGAAGGCAGGGCCCATTTTCACCTGCTACGAAATCCCAAAGACTTCCAGTGGACGGATCGGTGCGAAGAAGCTTTTCGAAGCTTCAAAAACTTCCTCACAACCCCGCCGATCCTACAGAGGCCGGACCACAAAACCGACGTCCTCCTTTACTTGGCCATAGCAGAAGGCGCTATTAGCGCGGTAATAGTACAAGAGCACCAGAAAGTGCAGACACCAATCTACTTCATCAGTCGAGTCCTCCAAGATGCGGAGAAGCGATACCAGATGATCGAGAAGCTGGCACTAGCACTTGTCACCGCAGCTCGGCGTCTCCGACCTTACTTCCAGAGTCACCAGGTGGTATTCAAAACCGACTACCCTATCAAGCAAATTCTGCGAAAGCCCGAGCTCGCCGGACCGATGATTGCGTGGTCAGTGGAATTGTCTGAGTTCAGCATCCAATACGAAAGTCGCGGACCACTGAAAGCTCAATGCCTGGCCGACTTCGTAGCCGAACTCACGCCTACTACTGCCGAGGAACCTTAGGTATGGACTTTACATGTTGACGGATCCTCCAACTCTAAGGGTGGTGGTGCAGGCGTCATATTGGAAGGACCAAACCGAGTCACTCTGGAGTAACCCCTCAAGTTTAGCTTCAAAGTGACCAACAACCAGGCAGAGTACGAGGCACTCCTCGCGGGACTAAGGCTAGCCCGCGACCTCGGAGCTCGAAAGGTGAGTTGTAACAGCAACTCAAAACTCATGGTGGAGCAGCTCAGCGGGACGTACCAGGCAAAGGACACTCTGCTGCAGCGGTACTTTCACATTGCATCCCACCAAGTCTCGTCCTTCGACGAATTCACCATAAAACACGTGCCGCGAGAACAAAACGCCCGAGCTGACCTCCTATCAAAGCTTGCCAGCACCAAAAGGCCTGGACAACACCGAACCATCATCCAGGAAACCTTGCACTCACCCAGCTTAGACGACAAAGTCGTCAACGTCAGTGACAATGAAGACCTGGGATGGATGACAGACATCTGGAGCTACCTGAA